CAAATACAACAACATACAGCCATATTACAGCTATTGACAGCTGCTTGTCTCTAAGAGACAGACCTCTGATTTAATTTGTTAGAGCCTCCTAATAATATTTTTTCTTTCCTCACTTTCAGTTATCTCAAAGACTGGTAACAGGAAGAGAAACTAACACAACAACAACAACATAACCCCAAACCAAACAGGCTTTCAACATTATTTTAAGTCTCCAAAGAAGAGAAACAAGCAAATTAAAGCACAACTGGAAGTGTTCATGAGGAGCACTGGATATCAATGTGGTCAGGCTGCTGGCAGCGCTGTGCAGTGCTTTGTCACCATACAGCTTGGCTGCTAAAAGCCACCCCCAGTCTGCAGTGGACAACTCCAGGCACAGGGGTGGATGTAAAGTTTGGTATAGTGCCTGCTAGAATGAGGAATTCCTGCACAGTCGTATGAACAAAAGCCCATTAGCTGCTCTCTGTGGTACTGCAATACCTCAAGTAAACCAGCAAAGTCCAATAGGATAAGCAAGAGGCCTTGAGAGATACATTTAGGTCTTCAAGAAAGATTTCTAAAACCTGTCCTTCAACAAAACAGTTTTGCTTATATTGAAATTTCAGTGACTAACAGAAGACTATATGAATATATTTGTTACTCATAAAAACACCTCCTCTCCCCAGCATTCCAGCCAGAAGCCCTAAATGGCCATAATATTGTAATAAACATCTAAGCCTGAAACAGTGATGGTGCCAACAGGTGTAAGGACATGCTATGGACAACTAAGGAGTAAGACTTGCTAGACAGGTGTCAGACACACAGATATCACCCATCCCTTACTGTGGGAGTAATGCAGACAGAATTACATCTTCTACCCATAGAATAAAATACAGTGTATAATCTAATTCTCAGCGTCATTAAAGACAACGAACTTATTCTTTCAATTTTCTTCTTCAAATTGTTTGCAAGAAGTTTGATCAACAGCCTCAAAAAATTTACTTCTTTTTCCTGCAACGGTTTCCTAGTGCTTAGCCTGCAGCTGTTAGCATTGGATTTCAAGACACACTGTACTAAACTGTATTAGGCATGTGAAAGGACTTTCATTCCTCATTAGCTGCGCATAAGAAAGGATTGTAACTTTTAAAAAGAACTAAGCAGCTTTGTAAAAACTCGAATTTCCCTCTAACAAAAATCATACTTGTTAAAACTTTTTTTTATTCCCAGCTGAACTATGCTTCAACTCAAAGCAAATAAAGTCATCAGTTGACTCCATTCTATTAGAGGACAGCATTTAGAGAGAAGAATGAAAAAAAGGAGAGAAAAAGAGTCCAATAGGTCCTTGAACAGTGGTCCCTTGTCTGTCACATCAAGACATGGCTTATACTTCACACACTATTGACCATGAAAAGCAATCTTGCGACTTTTGAAGCCCCATCACAAAAAAAGAAAAAGAGTGCAAGAGAAAACTTTTCTTGAAATGTCGAGGATGGGGGGCTGACTGCTCTCATCTCCTATGATTAATGACTTGTGGCCTTATTGTGTAGAGGCTGCTAATTAGCTTCAGACTGATTAAGGCTGCAGAATGCAAAATTCAGCTTGATAAACCTGGACAGTCTCCATTCCCCACCCCAAACAACCCTGGTGCAGAAACTCTGGCATCTAGTTTCGTGGTAAAAGCATTCTCATGGAACTGATGTAATCCCAAGTGACTCTGGGCTTCACCTAGCTAGAAACTTGAACTGCAGTGGTTTTCTTTATAATAATGATTTTCTAGTCCTGTCCTAGTTCCCTGGTTTTATCTAAAAACTTGCTTGACACTTTGAGTAAACAGACATCACATATTAACAAATCTTATTCAAGACCATTTAAAATTTAGTTAAAAAGCAAAACAAAATAGCAGGTGGATACTTTTAATCCTCCATTATCCACTTATTAACAAATAAGAGCTAGTTAATTATGCCTCCAAAAAGTTGCACATAGCCTTCTTGGATGCTCTTTATAGATGCATTTAAAAAGAGAGAAGAAAAGTGGTAATTTCTAAATTGTTATTGCCTGACATTCTGACCACCTGCTTTACTGGAATATGTGCTGAACCTTTAATTTGGTAATAATTGTTTGCCATAGGTATAGAGGTGAAGTCTAGTACAGAGGGAATTTCACTCCTCTCTCTCCTCCCAGTCTCAGATTAAATCTGCTTGTTAAATTGATCTTCGCTGGTAAAGCATTACATTCCACTAACACAGGAAGGTTGCAAATACTTATGCCAGATTTTTAACACTAACCTCATCAAACTGATGCACTGCAACATAAGGCCGATTAGCATAATAACTGATTACTTGTCCTCTGGGCATCAGCAACTGAAATTAAAAACTTTAGCAGCTCATATAACAAAGTAATATGAGCTTATTTTTTGAGATACCTCCAGTTTCAAGAGAGAAGGAAAAAAAATTTGTTTCCAGGCCGGTTCCAGAGAGGGAAAGTTTCTCAGTTTTGTCAGGATGGATTGAAGTGCTGATAATTTCCTCTCTACTGAATAAAACCTAGATAAATATCTGTGCACAAATCATAAAAAAAATAATTCCGCTATGATAATCTGGTTAATTTATTTCAAACATATAAAGTCTGAATGCCTTCAACACATCAGCTGCTTGAATTCAAGAGGCTTCCTTTCATGCTCTGGATTCCCCAGAGCATCCTTCAGTTGTGCCACTCATTACTCGCTTGCATTGCTCTACACCCACAAGGCACCTGTTGCACGAGGTACTGCATGTTGGGAAGTGAAAACACAGTCATGATGCAAAAGAGTAAGTTCCCGTATTGCAAAAATACATCCCCAAGAGTAACTGTAGCAGGCCTTACCAATGGAAGAGTTCGTAGGGGCAGTGCTAAATTTATGATGAAAGGCAACAGATGGTCATTGGAAATAGTAACTTAAGGTAACATGAGATGACTGCGATAGGCAACGCAAGGAGAAGGACATCATCCACAGCCTCTTTCAAGTCCCCAGCAAGAAGCCTAAGTATATGCCTATCTTGAAACAGGCGAGCAATCCCTTTGAAACCAGAAGTAACCAGATTTAAGTACTTTTGTGTCTATGCATTTATTTTCACTGTAATTATACAGCATATGCACTATGTGCTGTAAACACTAATAGACCAATCTCAGTATTCCTGTAAGGTATGACAGTACCTCCAGCATCAGTGTCTCACTCAAGACCTGGGATTTAACTTATTGTTTATAAGCATTTTTCTATGCCTTCCCCTGTTTCTTTTTTGTCTTGTTTTGCTTTCAGCAAGGCTCTTTGTAGTGTCATAACTCACAGTCTTTCTAGTCAGACTTTGTTTATAAAACCTCTATTGTTTCAGAACAATGGAGTTGTGACCTGTTCGAAGGCAGAATTGCAATCAGGGCCCTCTCCGTACTTTCTCAGGGTGCACTTTGTGACAAAGTGAATAGACTATGCAACCCTATTGATGTCAGCCAGGAGGGGAAAAATAGGTTCCCTCAATAAATCCCAACATAAATCTTCTTGCCCTATCTCACCATCTGTATGAATTCACCCAAAGCACAAAAATATTAGGCAGAACAAGTATCCCCAGGCCTAAAAGACTGAAATACTGCTTCCTGACCAAAATGGATTTCTTTCATGCTTATGGCAGTTTTGGGGAATTCACAGGCATAGAAAGCAACAGGTGGAAACATAGCTTGGGCCAAGAAAAAGTGAATGAGATTGACCATAACATCATGAATATGCTACACTCTTCTGTGTCAGTTCCCTGCTATAAGTTTCCTCAGGGACAGGTTTGCGCCTTCTGATGCTTTCTTACCACCAATGACTTTGGTTTTCTAATTTTGCTACCAATGTTACAGAACAATTATCCACATAACGCAAGTATTAGCAGCAGAACAGCCACATCTTTTTTCCTTGTTTGAAAATGGTGCAGTCTGTAGTTCTAGTTTTGAAGGTCATTTAAGGGTTGCTTAGAACAGGTTGAGGATAACTACATCCCTTTTGAAATATAATTCTGGTCACTTGTCAGTGGTACTCACCCTCATTTAGCTTTACCATGGGTTTTGTACATATACTAAGAACATAAAGTAAGATAGTCAAAGGACTCGCTGCAGAAAAGACAAGCAAATGGAAGGGTTTTCCTTAACTTTACTGAGAAAAGCCCTCAGATAACACCTAGATGTATTCTAGGCATTTAAAACAAAATGTGCACCTAATATAAATTTTCATTATCATTCATGAAAGAAGAAAACAAAAAAGCCAGAGAAAGCACCAAAACAAGCAAACAAATAGAGTCTCCAACTTAATTGCTTAAGCTTTTGTGGGAAAACTGAAAGTACTTCAGAGCAGTGCTACCTTTTTGTCCAGTGTCAATACAGCTTCCAACACAGCAGGGTTCCAGTTTTTGACCAAGTCTTTCAAACAGTGCTGCATTGAGCAACAACAGCATAAAGCCAGCTTAAGCCAAGTTATTTCTAAATTTGAATTATTATTTATGTTTTTTAGCATTCAATCAATTTTGAGAGCAATCGAATTCTTCTATAATGTCTTTCATCTGAGCAGAGCATATCAAAGTGCTTTGCAACAAATTATTGGTTAAAATGTGAAAAAAAATAAAAATTGTTATAATGGAAGGCAAAGGATCCCATCTCAGCCATGCCCTGCTAGAGGGGAAATACTACTGTAAATGCATCAGAACAAAAAGCACAACAATAACTGATTTCATAAAATTACAGTTGTGCTGAATCAGTGCATATTCATCATATATAACCTTATATAGCAAATTTCAAGCAATTTTTTTTATATTGCTGTTTAGAAAATACTTCAAAGTAAAATGGTTGTTCAGGTAACATTAGTAAAAGTGCATTCTTATTGGTAATACAAGCCATGAACATCAGATCAGCTTTCTTAGATCTGTATCAGCTGACCTGATCATACCTGCTCAATGGCTGACCACTCTGAATGAGTGAAAAACAAAGAGAGGAAAAAACCCTATGAAGCAAACACTCACCTTAGATGTCCTCAACAGAAAAGATGGATAGTGATCAACCAGAGTTCCTCATGTGTGAGACACACGGAGGGGACCAGCCTAGGGGTGAAGAAAGGCAGAGGAATCCACTGCACTTCCAAGACTTGTGAAGATAAAAAAGGAGTTGTCCATCCAGCAGCTTTCCTAAGGAATTCATTAATTTCTCTGTGTTGAAAATACAAAGAAAAAAATGAAGAAGCTAAGAAGAGCTCAACTGTGACATCCCTCCCCTCACTGCCTCCAGATAGACAAACCTACTCACAACATCCACAATCTATTCATTTAGTAGCACTGAAGTTATTTAGCAACTCACAGAAGAATGTGTAAAAATTTAATGATGTGTATTTTAAAATCCCACTTTTAGTAAAGATAGCTTTGCTCTGGCATAAAACATTTTACAAGGTACCATAAAGCAACCTTACCATGCGCAGACAATGCCTTTGCTCCTCAGTATTAAGCAAAACATTTTGTTAATCCACCTCACTACTTCTACAGTCTCATGATTGGTTTAACAGCTGAGTATCACCACCAAATCAATTCAGGTGTCCTCATTAACACCTTCATTCACTATGGCTATGGGGTGTTTGCTGATTGCCTGGGCACTGAAGGGATGGCAATAACACCTAGCTGCCATTGCTCCCATCAGCAGAGGACCTGTGGAAGGCTGTAAGGACAACTGGACTTCAGGGAATGCTGCAGTAGCATAGGAGAGGGTAGGGTGGTCAGAGGTACAGCTGGCCAAGCACTCCCATTTCTATCAAGATACTGGGTGCAAAGTTAATTGTGGTAACTAAGAAGTGAAAATGTTTATATCTACATGAGAGTTTGTGTGTCCCAAGCACAGCACATCACCCCAGAAGTCAGAAGCAGCAACCTAAGAGATCAGAGTGTAGAGGTACTAGAGGAGGCATGAAAGAAGAGAACTAGAAAATGGATTTGAGGATGTGAAGACCTGTGATGACAAGCCAAAGAAAGACATTGAGGTTATGCATCTGTTTAACAAATTAAGATATCTGAAAATAGATTGTCTGAATACTGTGAAATAAGTCTAATTACTGGCAATCTATACGATTGTAGTGGGATCAACCAGATTAGCATCAGGATAATTACAGGTCCAACAGTGAGATCATCATAATTTACAGACACTTTTGAGGCAATAATGATAGAATGGTTTGGGTTGGAAGTGACCTTAAAGGTCTTCTAGTTCTAAATCCCCTGCTATGGACAGCGACACCTTCCACTAGGGTATCTCAGGGCCCTATCCAACCTTGAACACTCCCAGGGAAGAGGTATTCACAACTTCTCTGGGCAACCTGTTTCAGATACTATGTTTTGTTAGACCAATGAAGTGTAAGGGCAGCAAGTTTATGAGCATACAACTCTTGTTTGATGGCATAAGGGATATAAAAATCAGTAATATGGGCAAACTTGGCCTCTTGGCATTTTGATTATAATGCATAAAACTTTGGAGAAATAAATTTCTTATTACACAATATCAACTAGCTCTCCCAAGCTAGGTCATAATTGATTGAGGGACACCTAGAGCTTCTATTTCCACTTAGCAACTAGGAAATTAACTTTATTTTCAACAAATTATTGTGTACTACAAAGCAACCCAAACCAAAACCACTGGGTATTTTAGATGCTGTATAAAAATTAGTGCCCTGGGATGTGTGTGGGAAATAAACAGTACTTAAAGTTCATAATTAAGATTATTAATAATAGCAAAAAAAAATCCATTCTCCAAGCAAGACATCATAATGCTTAATAATTGATTGTAATTTCCTGTAATAAATACTAATGAATTAATTTATAAAGTAATGTAGCTTTATATGTTTATTCTCTTTCCTAAGAGATATTTGTGTTGGTGTTATGTCAACAATTTAATACATTAAAATAATTTATAGTTATTTATTATTACTTTCAACATCTCTTAATAAACAGCAGTTGTTTCACATAAATACCAAAGCAATCTTCAGAGCACATCTGTGTCCCCAGCAAGCTCTCAGGCTGGCTTGTGAGTCCTTTTACCATCTGTGAGCCTGCATGATGAAACCCCACGAGCCAGCTGAATGTCCCAGAGAGCAGAATGCGCAGGCCTGCAGGGAGGACCTTGCCCTAGCCTGGGACTTACCAGCATCCAGTCTGTGTATCTCCAGGGCCAAACATTTCCACTGGGAAGAGATTCAGTCACTCCTCAGAGAGAAGATCATCACTCCAGACCAGACACTGAGTTAGTAGCTCTGAACAATCTCTCCCACCTCTATACAATTTCCTACCTTTCTTGAAGTCTGTCCATATACTGCTTCTACTGCTTCATCTTCTAGGACAGAATTCCTCTTCATCCATTACCTTTGCTAGGACTGCAAATATTCATGACAGCTTTTTCTACTCAGCTGTTTGATTCATCTGTGAAGGTTATGGGGCCCTACATTAACCTCTTTTGGGCCACATGGATGTATATCTCCCGCTGCACTTGCATTCCTGATGTGGAGCGTCTCTCAGCAAGAGTGGCAGCAATAACCAGGGCAGTGCCCTCTGTGGAGCTCCAGGAATGTGTTGCAGGCAGTTCCTGCAGGACCAAGGGACACAAATCTCCTGCCTGCTGCAGGCTCAAAGCTAATGGTGAGGGCAGCTGTTAACCATTCCACTGCGCATGCTGCAGGAAAGATGTTGTCCCGTATAGGAAATGTGAACCTGCAATTCCTGGCTATAGGATCAATGTGACAACGTGATCAGCACCATCCTGCCTAGTGCCTAGAATTGAATCAGGACTGGACCAGTGTTGTCCCTCTAGGGATAAAAGATCACATCTTTTACAGCACTAGTAGGAGTAGTGGTGAGGCACGTGGTAAATTGGCCACATCAAAACTCTCTCTTTATAAAGCTGTCACACCTGGATCCCCACTGCTGTCTCCAGGGTCACCTCAGAAGGCCCAGACTGCACCTGTGCTGCACAGTGGTCTGCATGTCCTTGCCTATGCCACTGTTATGATGGGCTGACAATGCCTTTACAGTACTGTTTTATCTGATTCATCTCCCAGCTGTTCATCCTCCTGATTTATGCCATCAGCACCAAAGCCTGATTAGCAAACAGAACAGAAGGAGAGGGATTCACGCTATCCTTCTAAGGTTTATGAGTGCTGGCATGCCTTTTTTATTCCTCTGAACTTGAAATCCTGAGCACATCCACTGCCTTCTCTTTGTCAGGCTCCTCCATGGTGTTTGTAGCTAGTTGTTCTCTCATTTAAAGGGAAATATGGATCTGACTCAGAAGATTCAGTAGATACAGTATAGGTTGTTGTGGGTCAAGGAGTAGACCTTACTTCAGCCCAAGACACAAAAGTAAAATAAGAACTTTTAAGAGTAACACCAACTGACTTGTTCTTAATTCCCAGCAAAATACAAAATAGTCCCAGGATGGCAGTAGCTAGCCTCTTCATTTCATGAGCAGTGTCACAAGAGTTGGATATTATCCCAGTGCTTCTGCTGCTGTTTTAAAAAGACAGGTCTTGATATAATCATCAAGACATCATGAAGAGTTGCAAAATTTGCCACCTCAAGGTGTCTCTGGAGGTGCTGCAATGCAGTTATTGCAAAAGGGAGGAAGCAAACCCCAAGCAGCTCAGACCCGGGGCACTTTTTTATGAATGTATGGATGCTATTCTGCTCGCACCTTTGCTGTAAATGTGAAGCTCTACAGGATGAGGTTAAGAGCTGGGCTGTGTGGCTGACTCATCTAGCAGACACACTCCTCTGGGCTTTGCTAAGACAGAAACACAAGGAATAAAGGGATTAGATTGTATTGTAGGTGGAGAGCCAGTTTTGGTGGAGTTTTAGTCTCCAAGAAAATCATTGCCAAAGTCACTTAATGTAGCAGTTCGAGAGACAGGCTCTGTCTTAGGACCCAAGGCTAACCTATTTGATGTCACTCTACAAGCCGAGCAGGTGCTGGGTTTGCAATATATATTTGATGTCTAGTGTTGAAAAGTGAGTTGATTGAAATGCTGTCAGGCTGCATTTTGAATGATTGTACTACTAATGTCACCTACAGGCAACTTGATGGACATTCTGCCATACATAGAATACAGTAGGCTGGAAATCATCATTTGCAAATCATCACCTTTGAAAGTACAACAACCAATTCAGCTGGAAAAAAAAAAAGAATTGGAAACATGTTGAAGAAACATTAACCTGAGGAAGTGAGCAAATCAGAAACACCAAATATTTAGGTTCATGGATTTCTCATTAAGGAGAAATTTTCAGCCTACTGTATTTCTTTTGGGGTGTTGCATTTCAAACCCTGTATTTTGTTTGATAATGTAATTCTACCACAGGAAATCTAATCAGGTTGTCTTCTAAGTTTTTACTGGTATACATCAGTATGGCACTTTGGGGTTCTGTTCATTTATGACAGTAGTTTTACAAAATCTGTCACTATATACAAATGTGAAAAGATGAGTAGTAGAACACAGGCATATTTTTGAAAGGATATGGGATTTAGCTAAACAATTGTCATTGAGATTAACAAGAACTTAGTGTTTCAATTTAATAGTTGATCATATAAATCACAGTTTTGACCTGTATTGCCTTGCCATGACATGAACCTAGGTTAGAGTTTATAAAAGTTCAAGTCACAGGATAGAGGTAAGGAAGATTTCCTTATTTCTAGTGTCTACTATTCTCCACAAAAGTAGAATTCTGCAATTAATTTTACATCAATCTGGAGATTAATTCTAGCAATGTGGTAAAACCATTGGCTAAAAAGTGCTCACAGAACCAACATCCCAGAAAGAGGAAGAGACAGGACTGAGGAAACATCAGTATTTCACCACAGTCATCTACTATTGTCAGCTTATGTTAGCTAGTCAGCAATAATGCTGAAGCATTTCTTCAAGTACTCTTCTACCAGATTTTCTGAGAAATTTGGTATGAATTTACTGTGAGTGAATTCTTCTAAAAAAAAACCCAACAGAAACTGCGATACAGGCTAGATGTTCAACTGTTTCATTTAGAAATACTGTGGGATTTTTTTTCATATACTGGTGTATTAAATACATATCCCCGAAGAAAT